GTGAGGCTGGGACCAATCCAGGCATCACCTTCTCAAAGGTGTTTTCATCCGACTTTCTTGGGATGAATGTCGAAGTACACAATCTCTAGTGCCAACTCTTAGAAAACGACAAAACTGCTTTATGGAAATGTACTGTTAAAATAGTAATAGCCCCTTTGTTGTTGGGTGCCCTTGAGTTGATTCTGACTCATGGCGACCCCACATGACAGAGTAGAATGGCCCCGTAGGCTTTCCTAGCCTGGAATCTTTACAGGAGCAGATTGCCAGGTCTTTCTCCTGTGGAGCCGCTCGTGGGTTCAAACTGCCAACCTTTTGCTTTGCGGCTGAGCGCTGAACCGCTGCGCCACCAGGGCTGCTCCATATTTGCTCGCACTTGCTATGTGCTGGGCCCCATTCCCAGCAGTCCGAAAGTCTTCAATTAGACACTCCTCCTGAGCTGGGCCCAAGGAGCCCTCGTCCAGAGGAGGAAAGGGAGGCCCCGAGAAGCTGAGTGGCAGCCCAGGTCAGATGGCGCCTCGGTGCAGAGCGGGGCTGGAGTCCGGCAGCCTCTCACTCACTCAGCCACTATCAAGCTTGGTGCCATCGAGTCAATTCCAACTCACAGCGATCCTATAGGGCAGAGGAGAACTGCTCCATATGGTTTCCAAGGCTATAAGTCTTTATGGAAGCATACTGCCATATCTTTCTCCCTAGGAGCGGCTGGTGGGTTCGAACCGCCAACCTTTCAGTTAGCAACTAAGTGCTTTAACCACTGCACCACCGGGGCTCCTTTTAACAACCACGAATACTAGTTATAACACAAGATTACTAGACGCCTTCTTTTACCTAAGGAATCTATGCTTTCCTTTTGGGAAAGAAACACTTTTTTCTTTGAATCAAAGAGAGTGAGGTTCAGGAGAAATGCACTGAATTCTGGATTTCACACCTAACCACTCTTTGACAGGTGGCCAACAAGCAGCTGAAGGGAGGGACTCTCAGCGCCATGTGGGTGCACCTACAAACCTCAACCTTAGGGCAATCTGGAACACTCCTGCCAAATACCCTGGGCCTTCCCAATTTCAAAACATACAATAAAGCTACAATAATCAAAACAGTGTGGTACTGATATACGTAGAGACATACAGACCAATGGAATCATATTGAGATTCCAGAAATAAACCCATACATTTATGGCCAACTGCTTTTTGACAAGGGTGCTAAGCCTATCCAATGGGGAAATAACAGCCTCTTCAAAAAATGGTGGTGGAAAAAAAAACGGTGTTGGGAAAACTGGATTTCCCCATGCAAAAGAATGAAACATACATGAAAAGTAACTCAAAACAGATCAATGACCTAAATGTAAGAACTAAAACCATAAAACTCTTAGAAAAAAAACACAGGGGTAAAGCTTCAAGACCTTTTTATGACAAAGGATTCTTAGACATGGCACAAAAGCCGGAGCTACAGAGGACAAAGCAGACAAACTGGACTTTGTCAAAATGAAAATCTGGGGGTACCAGGGGACTTTATCAAGGAAGTGAGGAGACAGTTGTCTGGTTTCCAGCTTTCCAGACAGCTCACTGCAGTCTCGTTAGAACCCACCTGTGCTCTTTGGAGCCGGGTTGGTTTTCTTCTCTCTAGAATCAAGGCTGGCTTCCTCAGGCTTCCCTGTCTTAACATTTGATGGTCCTGCGGATTCTGTGAAAGGAACAAAGCAAAGAAAACCAAAAACAAAGCAAAAGCACAAACTTAGGGAAGAGCCGTATGGTCTTGTTTTGCTAGAATAAGCACCTCCTCCAGCGTCTCACCTTCAGGGACATGTGGCTTTGAGACGGCCTCTGCTGCTTTGGGTTTCTTTGCTTTCTGTAAACAAAACGAGGAAGTCAGAGGACGCCGAGAGTCCACTGGGTGCCCCATCTGTCTGGCCGCCCATCACCGCACGAGCAGCCCTGTCGTCAGGCTGATGGAGTTTCACAGGGCAGTCACTTCTTCCCAAGATGTTCACTCTCCACTAATCCCTGACCCCAATCTCTGCACCCTAGCCCAGACCTCCATCTCTGCACCCTAGCCCAGACCTCCATCTCTGTGCCCTAGCCCAGACCCCCATCTCCGCCCCTAGCCCAGACCCCCATCTCTGCACCCTAGCCCAGACCCCCATCTCTGCACCCTAGCCCAGACCCCTATCTCTGCACCGTAGCCCAGACGGCGATCTCTGCCCCTAGCCTCTCAGAAGAATGGGTCTGCAGAGATCTAGCTTCGTTCATACTGACACTCCAAACATGTGAAATGAAGGTGATGGGTTTCAGTGCTAACAGTCAGTGTTCATGGTGACTACTCACACAGAAGAGCAGTTACGTGAATGACAACGTGAAGTCCAGACGGGTACACAGAGTCCAGGCCACAGAAACCTGCGCTGAATCTTACCCATTCCAGTAACTCTTCTTCAGCATGCGCAAACCGTTCTGACACTTATTTGACTACATTCATTACACTAACGAATACCTCAACCTTAGCCAATTCTCAACTTTGGTTTACTCTTGTTAGAATTTTTAAATTTCAGGCACTAGAATCCTGTCACTTTTGTCGGCAAAAATAAAAGAAACTAACCATTCTAAAATCACACAGCTGTGCCAGCAATGATCCAATCACAGAAACGACAACTATGACTATCATCATTCAGAGAATTGACTTTAAAATGTCATTTTCCTCAGGATCCAAAAGGTGGCGC